AAAAAAAGATAAAAAAGCGAACTGTGGGTTGGGGTAGGGAGGAAAATGTTTAACAATAAATGAATGGAAATCCAAGTTGTCTATGAACTTTCATGAAAATAACAATAAAACATTCTTTCTAAAGAAAAGAAAAAAATAGGAGCTGGTTTATTATGTTTTCCATATTTCCTATCTTTCCAGGTAACTGCTCTGATTCTTCAGGCTTTGTGTGGTCCACCTTGGAGGTGAAGATGAAAGTGAAGTGTCTTTAAGGACAGGGATAATTCATAATCACAGGGATTCCTGTACGGTACACCTATCTATTTCTAGTAATATGTATAAGGAGATCCGGTGGTGCAGTGTGTAATGTATTGGGTTGCTAACCCAAAGGTCTGTAGTTTGCATCCGCCAGCTCATCTGAAGGATAAAGAAGGGACATCTCCTTGTAACGACAGAGGGTCACTATGAGTTAGTGTCTTGATAGCAGTGGGTTCTGTGTATTAGATGGAAAATGAATGAACACAGAAAGAGAAAAAGGGGATGAGAAGTTAGAGAATATAGATATGACACAATAATAAACTTTTTTCCCATAAACTTTCTACTCTCACAGTGAATGCTCTCATTCTTAGCCTGCATCCAGAGTCTCTGAACATAACTCAAGCCGTGCGGTCATACATGCAGAAAACTGCAAGCCCCTTTTAACAGACTCCAGCTCTGAACACACAAACTAGGACTAGGAGCCCACACATAGCTTCCTGTGTTCTTCATTCTTTGGGTTCAGAAGTTCTCCTCACATACTTTTCTAGAGTGAATGATGTGTTACCACCAAAGAGAACCTTTCCATATCTCTCACTGAAGAGTCAGAGGACCAATTGACTCCATAATGCAATGATGGATTCAGAATGAAATTGTTTTTTTCAAGGAGCATCAGGACAGGATAGAGAGAACAAGGGACAAGTACTTGAAGAAGTGACTCCTGCATATGTAAAGGTGTAACCAGACCATTTACCCCCCTTCCATTTCTAAATTTCAATCTAAATCCCCAGAGGGCTGTCCATAGAGAACGTTGTTGTTAACTGATCCATAGCTGACCCTCCAGTGGGTTTTCAGAGGCAGTAATCACGTGGGAGGAGACTGTCCTTCTTTCTCCTGAATGTTGTTGTTATGTGCCATCAAGTCACTTGTGACTTATAGTGACCCTGTGTACAAGAGCCCTAAACACCGTTCTATCCTGTGTCAACCTCGCTGTCTCAAACACACTCATTCCAACCACTCCAATCACAGAATCAATCCATCTCATCAAGGGTCTTCCTCTCCTGCGCCGTCCCTCCACTCTGCCAAACATGATGTCCCTCACCAAGGACCAGTCCCTCCTTGCAACATGCCCAAAGTATGTCAGACGAAGCTTCAGAATCCTTGACTCCAAGGAGCACTCCAGCTTAACCCTCTCCAGGACAAACCTGTTTGTTCTCCTAGCAGTCCATGGTACATTCAACACTCTTCTCCAGCACCACAGCTCAAAGGCATCAATACTCTTTCTGTCATCCCTAGTCACTGTCTAACTCTCTGATGCATAGCACGTAATTGTGACGACTATAGCTTGGATCAGGTACACTTTAGTCTCCAGCCCAATGCCATTGTTCTTCAATATTCTTGAGAGGTCCCTCTCAGCTAACTTTCCCAATGCAATTCATCTCTTGATTTCCTGGCTTCTGGTACCAAGAGTGTTGACCATGGAACCAAGTAAACTAAAACTATTAACTATCTCAATCTCTTCACCATGCATACTGATGCTGCCAATTGGCCCAGTGGTGAGAATCTTTGTTTTCTTTTTATTATTTAAAATTTTTTTTTATTTTCCAAACAATTTTATTGAAATGTGCCAAGAGTACATGAATAGCACAAATGTATGAAGAGGGAGGAAGAAAAATAAAAAGAAAAAAAATCACATGTACAATAAATTTTTTTTTAAGTGAAGGTTAATCTTGGGAGATATCAGTTCCCCTCCCTCACCCCCTCAAGACTGTTGGCATTTCTGTTATGGTTAAGCCTCTACTAACCTAGTATTAAAAAAAAGAAATACAAGAACTTCTGGGGGGAAATAAAAACACCAAAAAAACAGCCAAACCCACCAAACAAAAGAGAAAGTAACCTAAAAACAAGAAACAGCAAAAAGCGAAAATTGTTTTTCCTGCTCTGATGGGAATCTTCTTGGACACCTAATTAGGCGGCATGCTGAGCAGTGGAGAAACTCAACTTCAGGGTGTACGGATATGGCCCGTTTGGGTTTTTCATCTGGTAATGGTTCAGGAAGCCCAGTGTCTCTAGGGCATCACTCTTGGATTCCCACTCCAGCAGCGCAGAGGAGCTGTGTTCACTCTTGCCTGAGAACACTTTCACAGAAGATGGCCGCTTCACTCCTAGCTCGTCACAGATCTCAAAGAAGTTCTCCTCGATCGCCTCCAGGGGGGCATTGAAGAAATGCAGCACATTGCTTGGGTGCTGGATGCGGTTCTTGGCTGCCTGCTCCGGGGTGGAAAATCGATTGTTTCTTGAGCCATTAAAGTCTTTGTAACTGCAAGACCCATCTTCTAGCCCGTATGACTGACCAGGCATGATGGCTGGTTGCTTGGAGACGAATCTTTGTTTTCTTGATGTTGAGCTTCAATTCATATAGGAGGCTGCAGTCCTTGACCTTCTGCAGCAAGCGCTCCAGGTCCTCCTCAGTTTCAGCAAGCAGGGTTGTGTTATCCGTATAACGCAGGTTGTTGATGACTCTTCCACCAATCCTGATGCCACATTCCTCCTCATACAGCCCAGCGTCTCAGATGACCTTTTCTGTATACAGATTGAAAAGGTATAGAGACAAAATACATCCCTGACGGACCCCCTTGATTTTAAACCATGTAGTGTCTCCTTGCTCTGTTCTGACAACTGCTTCTTGGTCCAAGCATAGGTTTCGCATTAGCACAATCAAATGTTCTGGGATCCACAATCAAATGTTCTGGGATTCCCATTCTTCTCAGAGTCAGCCATAGCTTGTTATGATCCACCCAGTCAAAAGCCTTTGCATAGTTAATGAAGCACATATAGACATTCTTCTGGTATTCTCTGCTTTTTGCCAAGATCCATCTAACATTAGCTATAATATTCCTAGTACCAGGACCTCTTCTAAGTCCAGCCAGCACACCTGGTAGTTCTCTGTTGACATATTGTTCCAAACATTTTTGGATAATTTTCAGCAAAATCTTGCTTGCATGTGATATTAATGATATTGTTTGATAATTTAGAGAACCAATTAAAACACTTCTGCCATTGCTAAGTACTATCTAGTCAACTCCATCTATATCAAGTCTATATAAAACAAAATTAATCTTATTTAACAAAAAGTTCTCAAAATCTACATTGAATTCCTCTCAATTATTTCACTGGTGGGATATCTTTATTGGGGGTGCATCAGTGGAAAAATAAAGCCATTCAAGACCCAAATTGGGCTATGAATGCCAATTGTGAGTAAGAGAGTAAGAGAGAAAGAGAGAGAAAAGGGAGGAAATGTGAAAATGCTCATTTCCTACTCAAGTGAAATATTTGGAAAGATTTTAAAAGTGACTGACCTATAGCCCCACGGTGGGAGGATACGGGAGCCTCCTGTGTGAGCTGGGAAGATGACCTTTACTTGGGCAGATGCAAATTTATTAGAATTTTGTTAAAAGCAAAATTTTTTCTTGGTCCAAGTGCAACAAAATGGGCACAACAGACAGAGACATACTTGCGTTTTCATTAATTGAGACACTTCATGTGTGCATGTGTGTGTATACGCACACATAAGTTTCCATAAGTAACTAGTAGTTTTAAATACATACTCATTTAGAATATGACTTGATAATTCTTCTTTCCCATATAACACTATTTTTGTCAGTGTGAGTTTTCTTCACTGAGTATTTTTTCTTCTATAAGTTGCAAATATATATTCTTCTTCTGTAAGTTGCAAACGTATATTTTTCTTCTGTAAATTGCAAATATATATTTAAAGAAAATATTAAGGACTCATGAGAAAAGACACAAGTATAATTTCCAAGCTTTTCCTCCACTCTCTCTACTTTCAATTTTCTTTTCTCTAGGGACTTCTAGGAGAAGTAATATTATTATATTAAATAACAGTTCTGAATTTTAGTTCTTGCTCTATGATCATCTTGCATATAAAAGTGTATTTGCTCAGGGAAAATGGGTCACAGATTGCTTAACCAGCTCCTTACCATGCAGTGGTTAAGAGCTGTTTGTTTTTCAAATACCTTAATTGTATGGTCTACCAGAAAAGAGCAGCACTGAAAATTATATCTCTGAACTAAATGCAACCAGATGGACAAAAACAACAAGGGGTTTGAAAAAGATAAATGCCCTCCAATCCCCCTGTGGTTGGTTTTATCGCCAGTTAATTTTATAATAGCTTTTTCTGGAGCAGGGGGATATTCCACTGGTGTAGGAGTGGTCCTTCAGTAAAACCCAGGCAACTTCCAGAGGGGAAGGCCCTCTTTGCAGCCTATTTGGATATAATTTGGGTAAATGTGTTGGTTTCAGGGCTGGAGAAATGGGTGGAGATGATAGGAGGATGGAATTCTAAGCTTTATTTCTAAGAGCAGTAAGACAGCCTTCTTTATTTATACTTTCCATTTGGTAGTATCTTTTGCTACACATATACCAAGAGTCTTAACCAGGAGTTACTGACTAGAATTGAGAGATTAGGACCATGGTATTAAATGACCTGATTGACCTAATTGGTGGTCTATAGAAGTCAGTGTTTCAAAGGCCAGAGTTACTATTTGGCCAATATTCCACATTGGCTAAGAATTATGTGGACTTGTTAATGGAAGAGAACTACCTCTGGACTTTTTCCCCTCTTCCCAGGACCATAAAGTGTCTAGACGGAAAACCAGCACTGCAAGTTTGCCTTAAACTCAAAGCATCCAGGAAGCTGGATGGTTATCAGGTTATAAGTAGTTATTATACTGCTTCATGTACTATATAATAAACAGATTGAAGTCATAGTTGGAGAGAGGTGAGAGAGTGAAGATGGACTCTAGAAAGAAATGAAAATTTGAAGAACTTATTGACCTCATGAAACATCTGTGATTTTCTGGTTCGTTGATACATTCTGTAAGTGTTCTGGATGTGTTCTTCCTCTTTGATTTCCCTTTCTCTTATATCCTTCTTGGAAGTAAACAATAAAAATTTATCTGGGAGCTCAAATCTACCAGTGTGCTCCATGGGAAAAAGATTGGCAGTATCCTCCCAATTTACAGCCTCTGGAGAATCAGGAATGTTCAACTGACTTTTGACAAGGAGATGAAAGCAATCGAGTGGAGAAACAACAGCCTCTTTAATAGCTGATGTTGGCAATATTGGAAAACAATCTGCAGAAAACTTAAGCAAGATCCCATGTCACTCTATACACAAAAACCAACTCAAATTGGATCAGGGACCTAGGCGGGAAACCAAAGACTATAAAATTAATCCGAGAAACAGTTAGAAACAACTTTAGATGCCCTAATCTACAACATGAATAGACTTCCCAGTGTAAAGAAATACCTGTAAGAACTCGGCATAGACTATGCCATAAGTTCTATAGATATTGTAACATTAATAAAGGAATATCCTGGAAAACTGGATATCAATAATTTCAACAACTTAATTGAATTGGACAAAATCAATAAAAAATATTTTCAATAGTAAATATACAACTAGAATAATCCTATATGTCTCAACAAGATTGAAGTTGTGGTTAAAAATCTCATACAAAGAAAATACCAACTCAATATGATTTCACTGATAAATTCTACCAAGACCTTAAGGAAGAATTGACACCAATTCTGGGAAAACTTCTAGAAAATAAAAAAAGGAGTAAAATATTTCCCAATTTATGCTATGCCTCTGAATTACTATTGTTGTTATTGTTAGGTGCTGTTGAAATGAGTATGATTTACAGAAACTCTGTAGCAACATATCTGAACCCTGACCCATACTGTGCAACAGTCATCATCTGTAACACAGTTATCAAGCGATCAAACAAATAAAAATACCAATGAGTTTAATCAGCTTACACATGATACCAAAATTTAAAAACAAAAACAAAAACAAAAACAAAAAACCAAAAAACCACACCACCAAACAATGCCCAAAGAGTTTATACTCCACTTTCAGTAAATAAAAACAACTTACCAAAGTCAAGAAAACAAAGATTCTTACCACTGGGCCCATTGGCAAAATCATGATAGAAAGTGAAGAGATTGAGATTGTCAATACCTTTAGTTTGCTTGGCTCTACAGTCAAAACTCTTGTTAGCAGCAGCCAAGAAATCAAAAGATGAATTGCACTGGGAAAGTCTGCTATCAGGGATGTCAGTCTGGAGACTAAGGTGTCCTTGATCCAAGCCATAGTCTTCACATTTACTTGCTATGTGTCAGAGAGCTAGACAATGACTAAGGATTATAGAAGAAGAATCGATGTCTTTGAGTTATGGTGCTGGAGAAGAGTACTGAATATACCATGGACTGCTAGAAGAACAAACAAGTTCATCCTGGAGAGGCAAGAATTACAAATCTTTTGAGGCAAGAATTCTGAAGCTCCTTCTGACATACTTTGGGCATGTTATATATAAGAAGGGGCCAGTCCTTGGAGAGGAACATCATGTTTGGGAGGATGGAGAGAAAGCTCAAGAGAGGAAGACCCTGGATGAGATGGAATGACTCAGTGACTGGAGTGATAGGGGTAGGGGTGTCAAAGACAATAATGTTGGCTCAGGATAGAGCAGGGTGCAGGGTTCAGAGCTGCTATGCATAGGGTCGCTATGACTTGCAAATGATTTGACAGCACATAACAACAACACCACCTTCCAAAATCCAATTGCTTCAAACTGGAGACTCACGCTCAGGAAAGACCCAACTTTTAAATACAAAGGCCTGCACACCAAGTCCTGATAGTTAAACAAGAGGCTTCTAGCACACAGCTTGGCCAGTGAGTTTACATTTGTTTGTTCAAATAAAACAACAACAACAACAACAACAACAACAAAAAAACCAACCACAAGACCCAGACAGTTTATATTCAGCTTTCAAGTAAATAAAAAACAACTTACCCTGATGACATAGAGAAGAATGGGAGTCCCACAGCACTTGATTGTGTTCATACAGAACTTATACTTGGACCAGAATATTGTTGTACAAACATAGCGGGGGGAACACTGCATAGTTTAAAATTTAAAAGGAAGTTTGTCAGGGTTTTATTCTCTCTCCATACCTATTCATTCCATATAATGAGCCAATTATCCAAGAATCTAGACTCAATGAAGAAAAGTATGGCATTAGGATTGGAGGGACACAAACTCATCAATAACCTAAATTATCCAGAAGACACAACTTTGCTTGCTGAAAGTGAGGAGGACTTGAAAGACTTGCAGAAGATCAAGGAATGCCACCTTCCATATGGATTGCATCACAATGTCAAGAAAACAAAGATTCTTGCCACTGGACTGATAGGCAGAATCATGATGGATGGAGAGGAGATTGAAACTGTCAACAGCTTCATCTTACTTGGATCCACAATTAACACCCTTAATACTCCTGATTGATATTCCTGACCCAGCAG